AGAGAAAAGAGCACTTTAAAAATGCTTAAAAAGTCGTTCGTATTGCTTAGAACTTAAATGCTTCTGATGCGTTTGGGCTGGGAAAAAAAATATTAATTATCATTTCGCTTATCAATAAGCTGATATTGTATGAAACCATGAAGTGGAAACGGAAATGAGAAAATAGAAAGCATACTTTCACCACTCTTCTTATCTCATCGTCTTAATTTATTTTTATGTAATCTTACTTTTTCATACTTAAGTATTATTTATTTTATAATATATTATCGACATGAATTGTCCTTATGTAATCTTTTTTTGTGATCAATTTAAGACAACACATTTTTTAGGTAAAATCATTAAAAAAGACATCGGGTTAAAATTTTTATCTTTATCTTTCATTATCTCCAATATATTTTTATAATTTTTTAAATTCATATATTGTACTAATATTTTTAAAATTTTTATAGCTATTATGAGAAATCTTAAAATTTGAGATTGTTGCTCATAAGATATCAGACTCCAAATATTTGTTATTATGAGATCAGTGAGATAATAATTCATTTTTGTCATTGAAAAATCGAGATTCAAATATTTGCTATGAGCTCTTAAAATAATGATTTATCAAATCCGATTAAGGAAGGGAATCAAGATCTTATAAAAATGAAAAAATTTCTTCGGAGGAATAAAGTATCCAAGGACGAGCGTCATAAATTATGCAATAAATAGATGTTTTATTTTATGCATTTTACCCATCGTTTTCCATCATCTGCATTCATTTAACATCATTTAGAATTCCGTTAATCTTTTATATATATATATATATATACATGAATTCCATTAATCACGGCCAAGGAACTACTATATTCATAAATTTAATTAAATTTATCTATTAAATTTATGTAATATTTATTATCATTTAGCATATATATAAACTCTGAAGTGAAAATGGAAATGAAAAAATAAAAAGAATTAAATTCAACAAATAATCTATTAATTATGTAGTTTATTTTAATTTATTCTGAAAATAATATTTTTTTTAAAAATGATTTATAAACTATCAATTTTGTTTTAAAATATTTTATTTAACAAAAATTTCATTAACTAAATTAATGGAGTAGAGTTGGTGTAAACAAGTTGCCTCTTAAAC